TGAACCGCTTCAATTGAATGTAAACTTCATATAATGATGTCATATGTAGTAAATGTTGCAGTAGTTACTGGTTCAATAGATGTCAAAGTATTGGTATTTCATTTTTTTTATTTTCTCTTCCTTCTTTACTAGGTCAACGAGACTTATGATTGCTGGTACACATCTGGCATTTCCAAAGTTCGATTACATCAAGATAATCTTTTTGGTTGTGATGCCCATGAGCAGTCTACTCTTGAGAAGAGTAGACAGTATTCTACCCTGTGAGTACTCTATACTATTTTCACAAACCTACCAAATATTTGATTGTGTATTTGCTATTATATTATAGGTTACATTACTAAATTAAAATGGAACTGTAGAATGAGAACTTTTATCCTAACATTTGTAGGCTTAAATTTTCAAGAGTTAACATTCAGTAGTTGTGTTCAACTTTTAGTTGGTTCTTTGATAGGTGTCAGAGAAATAACAGAATACGAATACTGTATTAATGCAAATCTCTTAGTCCTGAATATGGTGATAGCGGGTTCTAAATGATAAAGAAAATGAAAGAACAAAGTGGTCTAGGCAATTTGAGAGTGTCCAGGACTCTCTCCTGAAAGTCCCAACTAATTTCCATGTCCCTTTCACCATCCTGTTCTTCTTGCCAGCTCAGCAGTTAGTTTTGTAGGAATTGATATTGCATCCTCTATCTATTAGCTATGATTTCCCACATCATCCCCCCTTTTTACCCTTTTGTACATACTAGTTACTTGTCCTACCATTTGTTTTTTCAATGTAATTATAAACACTTGAAGTCACAAATAAAAATGACCCACCCCCTCTATGCAGTTCTTTATGGCCACACACGTGTGACCAGGCTTGCTTATTTGAAAACGGCTAGGAAACTTGGTAATAGCCCAAAGGGTTGGTGGGGATTTAGGTCAAAAACTCAAATTTATAGGTTCAATCGATTGATTCATGATAACAACTCCTTGATATACCCAAAAAAACAAATAGCAAAAAATCTGTTTTTTTCAATCAATCTCTAGCCCTTTTATAACTTTGGTACTTGACTTTTCTGTTCAAAAGGTTCGCTATAATTGTTTCTATATAGGAAGTGGTGAGATATAGTCATTTCTCATGGTAAGAATATCTTTTTGAAGAAAATTATGAAAAGTCCTGATCCTAATCCCAACAAGTCAGTAACATCAATTTTGTACACTATGAAAGGTAGGTTGCGTAGGATGGGGTTGAATTGGATTACTACCTTTAATTTCTGTCAACGTTATGTGCTACATAAAACTGGGCAAAATGCAATTTCTTTTGACTAGTTAATTATGTATAAACTATACAGTCAATGGACTTTGGGTTATATCCTCTTCATTAAACAAACCTTGTTGGAAACAAGGCTCGAATGAGTAGCGAATTTGATTGGAGATAGTCTTAGATGGTCATGGCACTCCCCCCACCCATCCTCCTAAAAGAGCCCATAGCACTGGAGTATACTATTGACGACCTAAATTTATAAATTGTTCATAGGGATTTTTTGTATCAACATATTATGTTTGAGTAGCATTTCATATAAAGATATGTAGTTTAATTATAAATTATAATTTTTTTTCAAACAATTATTTATATCATGTATGGATATTCTATCAGGGCAATGGAGATGGTAATTTCCTGGTTTTCCGGTAGAGGAAGGACCAAGTATTGGAGGTGGGAAACTTTGGCTGGAGTTATAACTGGGTTCTTAACTTCATTCATCTCTATTACCTTTATTAGGTTCCTACAACTACTGCTATCTTCAATATATAAGTCTTTTACAACATCGATATTTCCTTGTCGTTTCAATGCTGTTCTCATCAGGCGTGCTTGTTTTCTTTTGGCATACCTATCTTTTGTGGCATGGTTAGCTATAGAATATGGGAAGAGGCTTGGTCTCGTGGATATATTCAGATTCCCTAAATCATAGCACTGGTTTTTGTGAAGAGCAGTCCTTTTCGCTGAATCCCCATGTAATTTTATAACCGCAGCAGGTGACATTCTTGTTATGATAAATGAGGGTCGGTTCCGTGTAAGGAAGTCATTTATAGTTGAGGGGGTATTTAAACTCATAGTTTACATTAAATGGGCTCGGTTAGTATTAAAGCAAAAATGTTAAATAGAAAGTTTGGAAATAGTGATTCAGATAGTTGTCTTATTACATATGTCCACGTAAGTATCTGTTTGAAGTGCTAGTGTGAATCACTTACGCACTTGAATGTTGTAAAAGTTATATGGTAGCATTTAGTTTGCTGGAATGGTTTTACAATGTGTTCGGTAACATGCTTGTTACCAGTGAATGTGGATCTAGCAGAAGTTACAAAGAATAATTTCCGTATCTTCCTGTTCTGTACGTGGAAATGGGAAAACATACCCATTTCAAACTTGATGCAAACAAGCACTTAGTGGACATGAGAATGAAATGAAATTACCCTTTATTTTTTCATGTTTGATCTGATCGCCATCAAGGAAGGACTATTTTGAAAGGGAAATGTAACTTAACCATTTAATATTTGAGCCATGTGTAAATGAATCCCTAATGTTTATAAAGTAAAATGAAACTTATACTTCAAAATTTATCTATTTTACATATTAGTCTGGGTCATTATCAACTGTAGAAAATTGCAACATTTTGTTCATTCAAATGCTTCTATAGTGCAATTAGAATCTGTATTTCAGTTTTTTTTTTTTTTTTATCAAGATAACTAAAATGATATTGAAGAATGAAAGATTATGTAAAATGGTTCGCCAAATTGAACGCTTTTGATGTTTTGATTTCAACCTCATTTTCTATCTTTTAAGAATATTTATGAGCACTACGATTCTTATATATATATATATATATATCAAAGCGTTGTCCGTGCTTCTAAAATTTTGACTAACAGTTAGATTTTACAAGATACATTGTTGCACTAATAATTTAGAGATTCATGCATTTATATTTCACCAGGAGAATCCAGAGGTTCACTGTTTATCAGGAATTGGTGTAAACTGTTTCGCCCATAAGTTAACATGGTAAGATCTTTTTTGTCATAGCATAGTTTCTAAGGAGGGAAGCAAAACATTAGATCTTTCCAGTATCTGAAAGAATTCTCTCAATCTCTTCTAGTAGGCGCTCTTTCTCATCTGCTAAGTCTTCCTTTTGCTTCTGAAGGTCCTCTATCTGCTTTGTTTGTTCAGAATCCTTCCTGAAAATTTATAGTACTCGATTTTAATATTTCATTTTGTATACCAGCTAATATGCAATCAAGTTTGTGATGCAAGCATACGTTGTTAATCCAGACAAAACTGATTATGTAACATTTGTCTTAATAGGGACTTAATTTTGATTACCTATTCATGAAAGACAAATTAAGTTTGAGTGATCGAACTTCCTTCTCAAGGGTTTCACATCGCTTCAAGACAGCTTGCATATCAGAGGGAACTGATGGTGTCAAATTTCTTTCCTTTGCCTCAGCCATTCTGCGTCAAATGTAATTATTAAAATATTGTCAAACTAGAACCAATACAATGTTAGATAGGAAAAGATTCTATCTGTTTCCAGGGATATTTCCACATACTTCCTCGAGCGCTCCACTCTACGCTTTTTTGTGCTGTCTCCCTTCTCCTCTGCACAATCATTTTGGTTAGACACAGTTTAATTATGAAAAGGAAAACCAAATGCTGTCATATTGGTCAGAAGGTAAACTTTGCAATCATATTAAATCTTTGGCTTTGACCTAATAAGAAAAACTGTCTATATTTCAAGATTTTACCAGATAAAACTATTAGCAAAGCTGTTCACCAAAAATAGAGTTATTAGCAAAACTATTGTTACATCTGCAAACTAATTATCCTCTGATGTTTATGTATGAAATTAAGGTCCAAAGCTTCATAACGGATCAGGCAATAAAGAAAAACAAAATTCTAAAATATGCTTTAGAGCACAATAATTCCATTTAACCTAAAAGCAAATGGCTACCTGAAACAGCTGATGTTATAGATCCATATCTTTCTAGACTTCTCCTCTGCACAATTTAGCCAAATTAGCCCACAAATTTTTTATTTCAGAAGTCAAAATCTCTTTTGTAATTCATAAGTCTAAACAAAATGGGTCATCATTTAAGAATAAGCTATACCTTCCGGTCATCTTTTATATTATCCATTATCTGTTCTCTAACACCTGCTTTTCCACAAAAACACAGGTTCATAAAAATAAGTGGACAGCTAGAAATTTAAATTATCAAGATGATTTTTTTTCTGATCTAAAATGATACTTGTGTTGTGTGCTAAATATGATTATATAAGAAATTTGACGTAATTACGAAGGGGGATCCAAGTTAGTAGTCACTATTTTGATGCATTGATTTTCGCATTAAACGCTACCAAATTGAACTGATTTCATTTTCTGAACTTGCTGTTCCATCCATACTACTTTTTCCAAAACTTGACAATTAAGCAAGATGTTAAAAGAATGAGCCAAAATGGATGAGCACAGTTATATCAATCTTTTGTAGTCTTCATACAACTGTTGAAAAAAAAGATAGAAAATACCAAAGCAAATGAATATGATGCAAGAAGTGCAATGAAGAATGATTTAGGTAACCTAATGCAATTCCATCATCATGTTATATTTATTTATACCTTTGACTCTATTTTGAGCGTTTTCTGAACTTCTACTCACTCCCACTTGCTTCCATGAGCTTTCACAAAGATTTTGATTTGAATTGCTGGGACCTTCACATGCATCCAAACCGGAGGAGATTACTGGTGCAGCAGCAGATGATTCACTTTGAGATGGTTCTCGGGAAGCAGTTCCTACATATGCTTGGTTCTTCTGATTTGCAAAACCATCTAAGACAAAGTAAACACCAGGATCATTAATTTGAGTATTACAGGCTCCATGAACATTTATTGGCTTTTGATGACTCCAATTTTCTTGTCCTTCATTGAAACCAGTTTGGAAAAGAGGTTCTTGAGCACAAAAAAGTCCATTTGAACTATCTCCTGCAGCTTCTTTCTCAATTTGGTTGCCGAGTTTCTTGCGTTGTAATGTACCCTTTAGCATACTTACACAAGATGAGACTTTATCTGCATCAACCACTTGATGAGTGTAGAAGGTAGATGAAGATGAGTTGGATGGAGACATGAATGACCCCTTTTGGCTTGGAAGCTCATACATAGCCATGTAATCAAAACCATTTAAATTTGCATTTTCTTGTTTTGTAGTGTCCACAACATGCTGAGGGGTTATGCTCATAATTTCCATTCCCTGTTTTGTTTGAGCATTTTGCATTTCAGTATACCTCCGCCTGCAAAAAAAAAAACCCTCAGAAATAAGTGGTTTGAAAATTTTCTCAAACAAACAGTTAAAATTAACTCACAGTAACAATGAAGAAGTAGAAATCTAAAACTTCGGGATCTAATGTATGACTTTTGTATGGATGTTACAATGGAAAACACAATAGATGAACTACTATAGTGCAAGGTGATGAGACACTGTGATAGAGTTAACTGTAAATTAAAGCATCATTTGAAGTGCCTATAGTGAACATTATTTAGAAGAATACAAGATGTGATAATGGTACCGCAATTCAGAGGACCGGCTTCTTGTTACTCTTTGATCACTAAGAAACCAGGCCTGCATTAATTAATAGACATTGAATGACCACGAAGATTTGTTGAACTAAGGCTTTAGCAAAGAGTTTGACATATACAAACCTTGGCCAGAAACAGGTCACTACTAGATTGCAGTTCTCTATTAACAGGGTCTCTGATGAAAATTAGCAGTCAGAAAACCAATAATATTGAGCTACTTTCTCAATCAAATCAACAATTAAATTGGTGACAAAGCAAATTACAATAAAAATAATCAGGAAGAAACAATAAAGTCCCTTGAAATAAAATTAGGTTTGCAAATATTTCGTATGTACAGCTGTTTGAGGAAAGACTACAGCAATTACCTGGTCGAAAAATTGATATCATCTGAAACATCATTGGCCAAAAGGTTATTTTGCATGTATAATTTTTCATTGTTTCTTCCCTCTGAAGCTACACCAACATGTTGCTGGTTAGATACAGTATTAGCTAGTTCGGTGGAAATCCTGCAGTTACAACACAATCACAATATCAAAAAAAAAAAAAAGGAATTAGAACTTATGCATCAGGAGATTAGTGAAGTGACACCAGAAGAATAAATAATTCGCCGAATAAATGTATAATTAAATTTAAAAGTTATATATACTTATAGTATTGAAACAATGTTCCAATAGACACTTTCATTTGGTAAAGGATCAACCAGAAAGCCACAGTTAATTGCAACTGAATATCTTCATTAACACTGTCATGATGAACATACCTGGTTTACTTTTGAAATTTGCCCAAATAATACTAACAAAATGTGTTACTTTCACCAACAAACTCACCTCTTTGATAATCGACTGTTCAGTCCCACGCTTGATGAATTGTATCCCTGATTTAGCAAACAAATGTCATCAATTTAAAGGAAATGTAGCAAAAGAAAACATAAGGTAAAAAATATCCAAAATTCCAAATAAAAGTTCCATAGTCAAACGAATGCCTATATAGCATTAATTTCATCATCAAGAAAACTGAAGTGTCATATTATTGTCTATTTGCAGAAATAATAGCAGTGCTTCAAGTAGAAAGTCAGATCAACTAAGAACAGTTTCTAGACGTACTTCTATTGTTACATTTCACTGCAAAAACTCTTATCAAAATGAAACAGATTATCAAGAGCAGAAGAAAAGGATCAGCAAGGAATAAATGGTTTACACTCTCACCTACCATAGCTTGTATCTAAAAATAAGCAATAAGCATATAATATATCAACAAGGCTCATGAAAAGCAGTAATCTCTCTTGAGGGTCACAATATGAGCAGTGTATAGACAAACACTGTGAATGTGACAAATCAGGTAGTCATGATTCATTTCAGAATTCCGGGAGACTAGGATACATTTAAATTATGAATAAAACTTCGATGCAGTTCATTAGATACTTCCGGTGTTATTTTTTTATTAGAATTAGAGTTTCACTTTGTTAATTTACATAATAAAAGTTTACATTAAATGTGAAACAAGTCCTTAGTCCAAGTGTAATTGGGATTAGATCACTTAAAAAAGATATCGGATTAAAAAGTATGGTTGAAAGAGAAGACTTCACTAAAAGTGTTTAATTAGACTTTTTAGCAAAGATGAATCATTAATATAATTAATAAATATTTCATATCAATAACATAATTTTAATATAAAAAATGAGAAATTGAGGTGAAACTCTAATTTTGATTAATACTACACCAAAAAGAACATAAAGAATTGCATCCAACTCTTGTCTTTAAATTATAGAGCATATTCTTTTGGTAGGGAAGATCATGAATGAATTCCAGAAGAGTGGTACTGAAGTTACTAGATTTTCCACATCCTATGCTCCTCTCCTGATCATAGTCAACGAGTATATGCACTCAAATATACACGAGTTAGAGATATAAAGTTCAGGAATTCTTTAGAAACTTGAAAGGAAAACATGCATGTAAAGCAAACTGGCATCAAGGAAATATCCTGCTTTGATCTTAATAGAAACAACAAATAACAAAGTAACATGATCTTATATCATATAGTGGCTTGCCTCTCCATTTGTTAGCCAACGCTTAAAGAGCTCCTCACTATCTGTGCGAAAGCTTTGAGAAACAGCCTTGAAACCTAACATCTCCATGGTAGGCACTGGCATACCAATAGGGCTCTCCATCACTGTCTTCAGGAACAACTCCTCACTTGAATTCTTGTATAAGCCAGAAAACCCCCTCCCTTCCATTTCCATGTGAATTCCCTCACTTGATACTCTTTTCAACTCAAGTTTTTTTTTATTTGTGAGAATCGAACTTGGTACTAAGGTTTTACAATACTCAAACACCCTATTCAACCAACTGTGATAGACCCCTTTGGTATTTTCATCTCAAGTTTGGTTGAGCCTTTCAGATTTCACCACAGAATTTTCAGCTGAATTTTCAGTGATCCATCACATAATACCTTCTCCAAAACCAAAGGAATGAATAATCTATTTCAATTTTCAAACCTATATATATCACTCTCTGAAAATTCAACCCCACAACCCAAGTCTCTAAACCCTGTCAAACTAGCAAATATTACTCTAAAATAAAGGAAGGAAAAAAAAATGATGGGTATCAGTTCACAAACTGTTTTATCCAAAATGAATAGCAACTAACATGCAACAAAGGAACAGCTCCCTGCAACAATTCACACGTGAAAAACCTCACAGAAGATCTTGCATAGAAAAACAAACTGTGTTGGTTAGGACTCAGCATTTACTTTGTTCCGTGACAAACTTAATAGTAAATACTTTCTCATTAAAATAAATAAACATCACTGTATCACAACAGTGGCATCTAAGAGTTGAAAAAAAATACTCAAGATTCTGTGTACCATTCATTTGTCTCTTGTGCACAATGAAAGCGAAAATGTTGCGGCGGTAAATATAGTCTTGAATGGTTAGAAACCGCGTGGAAGTTTAATGGGCAGGTTTAAAAGTGTGAAAAGTTTTTAGCTTTTGAAAGAAGCAAAGGGAATCATTATATTAAAATAATGACGATGAGGTCATCATAAGTAGTAAACAAATGGTGCAGGTGGTGCAATTGGAAGAGGGTGTGGTGTGAAAGTGATGTTGAGGAATACTCATTGTTTTGGTTTTAAAATTGGAAGCTGTTGAGATGGCGCTTTCGTTGCAGCAACGTTCTTTCAACTCACGTCCATGGATTTGTTTATAGGAATGTGAAAAGTGAAAATCCTTGCTCAATGCTGATTACATATATGTTAGAAATTTTATTTCTAACAAATATTACTACATATATTATTTGTAGTATTTATATTAGTTATTTACATTTAGTTGGGCTCAATATAAGTGATTTAATTTTAGTGAGTCTTTAGACCGCCAACAGGAAAAACTGATATGGGCTCATATAAGTGGAAATCAGATTTGGCCCGTTAGGGGTTAATGAATCTTTTACCATTAACCCTATGTCAGGGCTGCCATATTTGACATAAGTGATACGTGTTAACTGTCTTACTCATCCCACACCATGCCAAGGTCACGCCCTCCCTGTAGCATCACTTACCCAGGGGTCGTGCCATCCCTAGTCATTAATGTGAGGAACCACAATTATAATCATATTCACATTCGTCACATCTCATCTTATAACTCAATAACATATCACATACACACAATAGATAAGTCCAACAAAATAAAGGTAAGCAATTAACATCTAGATCATCAATTCTTATCAAGTAATATAACAATAACATTCATAAATTAATATAATACTCAACCGAATCACCAATTTAATACAATATTAAATCAAATAGTAAAACTCTCAATTTTCCAAAACCTAACTCAGACACTTTTCTATAATTTCATTCTCTCTCCCAAATCATCATTTTCACAAATTAAATACATATTTCTAATCCTCAACACATACAGAATCTAATGGGATCATCAATTTCTCAAACAGAAATAATCCAATTTTCCACAACCTAACTTACAGGCACTTTTCTATAATTTCGTTCTCTCTCCCAAATCATCATTCTTACATATTAAATATATATTCATAATCCTAAATTCATACAGAATCACATAAGACCAATAATTCTCCAAACAGAAATAATTATAAAATTACTCATAATCTTAAGGGACTCTTCCTCTACCCAATTCCTTCATGTAACTCTACATACAAATAATCCCTTTTTCCCCCGTACCTAGATATATAGAAGCTGAACCTACACAAGATCTGGTTGATCTCCCTCGCTGGGTTCCCCTCGGTCTGAAGTAGAAAGTAGAGGGAAAGAAGAGAGAGCAAAAGAAAAGAAATCAGAAAATGAGAGGTGTGCTTTTTGGGAGTGGCAGAGCGCTCTATTTATAGGCATCAGGCTTCGCCGAAACGACCCGTTCCAAATCCAGAACGGCCCGTTCTGGACCCTTAAATCACGACTAAAAATCACATCCAGAACGACCCGTTCTCAAACCAGAACGACCCGTTCTGGGGTGCATTTAATACTCACAACGGTCATATTTTTGAACGGTCCATTCTCAACTCTGGAACGACCCATTCTCAATTTGGGAACGCCTCGTTCCAATTTGAGAACGTCCCATTCTCATCCAAAATTTGTAGACAATTTTTGTATTTTGGAACGGCCTGTTCCAGTTTGGAAACAGCCCGTTCTGGGATACAAAATCACTCTCATTTTAGTCGTTTGGAACGACCCGTTCCGATTTGGGAACGGCCCGTTCTGAGCTACTAAACTACCCCTATTGGGCCTTTGGGCCCTCAAACAATCTGTGAAAATTGGGCTGTTACAATTCTCCCCTCCTTTATGAAATTTCGTCCCCAAAATTTTTGCAATGGTAGACTCCTCACATCTTGCTTTCTAATTCCTATGCAACCTCACTACCTTATAGATGTACAACTCTATCAATTTCACCAAGGAATGTCTATTATCAACAAGGGTAAGACAAGTAAACTTGG